TATGAATTTATTTTGTTAAGTTGTATAGGCGTGTGATTTATGAGGATGAATCTGTGTTTTGTCTCTTTGCAGCAACAGTCAGGACAAATACATCTACAGAGGTGCTCATTCTGATCTCAAACTCCCCCTTCCCTAGAAAGCGGTCAAAGTTTGTAAACCAAAGACCACCTCCAGACTACAGCAACGCCTCCAGGATGCAGCATATATGTGCAAGGTGTGAACAGCAAAATCTAATTCTGTCCAAATGGGCCTTTCTGATCGGATTTCTGCATCATTTATTTTAGATGTATGTATCAGTTATGTATGCAATATTTTCATTTCTTTTGTTGGTTGCATCTTTAATTGGCGGTAACCTGTACACGTTTCTATATAGGACACTGTATGTATTGTTTTATTCAGTTTTTTATTTCATTCCAATGTGAATATGATTTTTGTATATTATTTGTTTTCCAATGTAAAATTATATGTTCTATGTGTGTACTTTGAAGCTTCTTTTCTGTCTGAGAGACATTAAACGCAGTCCTGGAAGCACAATTCTTTCCTTAACTGAACTCCTTTCTGCCTCTCACAGTGTCCACCCAGTGAGTGTGAGAATTACTTGTATTCTTTGGTGTAGTACTTTGCTTTGTTCGGATGGAGTGCACTTATATTGGTGGAGCTTATAAAACCAAGGACATACGTCTTCTTGCACATTGCTGGCAGCGAGTCCAGTAGATGAAATGTGAATGAATGAAATGTTTTGCCTTCATGATTTCTAAATATCAACCAACAATATTTACACTGAACGTGTTATATAATTTTGAACTAACTGACCTTCGAGGATTTAGGACATGACATATTTTTAGAACTGTTTTTTTCCCCATCCTTTTAGGGGCTGTGTTTTATGCTCTGACAGTTCTACTGAGTAATTTGCCCTGACAGGTATTCAAATTCATCTAACTTCACCCTTTTTCCTGTTGCTAAGTTCATACCACATTATTACAATATACATTATATATGTTTTAGTCTTACAGTAAAGTGGTATATGCCTATAGAGGAGGTATGCACATGGGGAAAACCTGTCACACCAGATGTTACAAACCCCTCAAGCAGTTTCGATCTTATATGAACACAAGACCTGCAGCAGCTTCAAAATCTCAAAGCTCTCACCAATTAAAAATCTCAGAAAGATAATTAAAATATGTGTTTGTATAGTAGCTCAAAGGTTTTTTACCCGAATAGTTTTATTTTAACACAAAGTGGCAAACACAACATGACATAATATAACCAAAACTGTTTCCTGACAATCAGCATATTGCATACTGTAAATACTGTAATTTTGTTCTTGTTGTTCTGATAATGCTGTTGTCATGTTTTGTTTTAGCAAGACAGGTCATACTCTGTATAAAATATAAGAGAAAAGAGAGTGTTAGTATGACAGTGGGAAGTGGGACTATTGTCCTAGTTTCATGTGAGTGCCACTGCCTTGTTTACAATTTTCGAATTTTTATCACAACATGTGTAGTAAGACCTAAATTTCACGTAAACCTGAATCCATACTGGTAGGCTCACATGCACTATACCAACAACAAACACGTTACCAAAGTGACCGTCACAAAAGGGTGGCATCACAATTCAAGGCAAAACATGTGATGATGTACACAAACCAAGTTTCGCCTCCTGTGTGCGCGTCAGTGTGTGTTTCTGGCAACACAGGACAAACAGGTGTCTTGCAGTTTGTGTTCGGAAGCTGCTGTGCCATCGCCTAGATTTGCCTTTTCTCTGTCTTGAGGCTCAACTTGAAGGCAAGCATGAGTTACAGGACTGTGGTGATGTACATGGAGATCGGCTGCTTTGTGGTCTGTGTGTCTGGATGGATCCTGGTGTGTTCTACCATGCCCACAGAGATCTGGACATGGTCCGAGGTTGACAGCATAGTCTTAACTACTTCAAACTACTTCTCCAATCTTTGGAAGGATTGTATATCTGATTCAACTGGAGTGTCTGACTGCAAGGGAATTCCATCAATGCTTGCACTGAATTGTAAGTTTGATGTATTTCAGTACGAGGCATGACAATAAATAGAAAAAAAATCCATAGTATTTCTTACTGCTTCTTCATACGTAACACTGTTTTGCTGTCCTTGGACAGGGGACATTCACATGTGCCGTGCTCTCATCATCATCTCTATTATCCTGGCTTTCTTTGGATCCATTCTGGTCTTAGTGGGAATGAAGTGTACTAAAATTGGGGGATCAGAGGTTGCAAATGCAAGAGTAACCTTTGCTGGAGGAATGAACTACCTTATTGGAGGTAAAACGTTACTCTGACTTATTTGAAAGAAGTCCCATTGCAAGACACGATATGATTCATCTTAAAATGACTGTGTGCCTTTTGTTTTAGGGATGTGTTCTATGGTTGCTTTCTCCTATTATGGAAATAAAATTAGAGCAGAATTTCAAGACCCCAACTACAAAGCTCAGAAGTAAGTGCAATTTTTAAATGACATGGCATATGTGATTACTCTATGAAGGTAGAATTGTACATTTATGCTATTCTTGTATTTATTGCCAGGTTTGAAATAGGCGTTGGCGTCTTTATCGGCTGGGGAGGCTCCACCCTACTTGTTGTTGGAGGTCTTATTTTCAGTATCTTTGCAGGGAAGGAAGGGTGCCACTCAAGGTACAATGCCGCTACTGCATCATTGATTTTTTTTCCTTCATCATTTGCATTATCTACAGAAAAATGTAACCATTAATTTCTTGAATGTGTATTTCACAGCCCAAAGAGATTCCCTGAGTACAGGTACCCCGATCCCTACAGAGCTGTTCCAACAAAAAAGAGCATAGAGTCTTTGACTCGTACAGAGAGCACTGATAGCAGAAAATCAAGGACCACCCGCAGCAGCGGCAGCAGAGGCAGCAGCATCTCAGGGATCACAGATTCAACAAAGACATCGGCAACAAATGCATATGTGTGACCTCTTTTCAAAGGTGGAATATATATTTTTTCTTTCTGTTCTTCATGGGATGTGTGGGTGGTTTTATTTTCCAAGTTCTGCTACTGCTTGAGCTCTATATTAGCTTTTAGAATAGGCTTTTTTTCACAACAGTTATGCTGACGTGCCGTAGAAGGAAATGCACTGGTGTCACCAGTAATGTTAACAGTGGCTCCATCAAGTGTCCCAAAATGGGTATTAATTATTTAGATGTTTTGTTGTAGCCATTAATATTTTTTATAAGATGAAAATAAAAAATGAACTATCTTTACATGAAACATGACAGAAGTAACTGATAATGCTTGTTGACTTAACAAGTAAGCTACATATCTCCAGACATATTTAACTGAATTTTGTATGCTGTAATTTAACGCTGTGAGATGTTTTCAGATGTTCTTGAAATTTGCAATAAAACAAAATGTTGATATTGATTCATTGCAGAAAGAATGTATTTATGATTTGAAACTATTTCCACCTGGACCACCATCGAGATTGAAGTGATGCTTATTTAATGTGAGCTAGATAAGTACAGTAACTAAGTAAATACATTTACTCAAGCACTGTCCTTAAGTAAAGTTTTTAAGTACTTGCACTTAACTTGGGTACTTCTTTTATATCTTAGTTTATTTTATACTTCTCTTTTACTGTTCACCTGGTCTGTTTATTTTGGAGAGGAAGTGACATCTGCAGATACCTGGTTTAAGCCCCCTGAACAATGAACACTCTAGAGGTTTTAGCTGGGAGAAGTTTTAGCTGGTTGCAATCTTCAATTCACAGCTAGCATATGCACGTGGCCTACGCCGTTGTAAGTGTTTATACTTGTGTGGTGGTGTGTCTGTGTCACTCTGCAGTCACTTCTCCAAAACAGTGGTCAGTGGCGAGGTTTCTGTGAAGTGCTGTAAAGAAAAGCTGACTTCAAACACACCCAAAACACACATTAAATACGGCTTAATAGAGATAATTTCAAACAGAAGTACACATATCGGCTTCACTATAACTCACAGCATTCACAGACAAAGCATTTGTCTTTTGCTGGACACATTTTCCCCACAAATACAACATGCTAATATTTTTAGCACAAGCCTACGGCATTTTACATTGTATAAATTAGCCTTGTGGCTAGCAAACTTTTTCCTCTACGCACATGAAGCCAGGGACAACAGCAACATTTAACAAAGATAACATTACAAAATTTGGCTTCATTACAGCTCACAAGGTTCACTGACAAAACAACTTACTATACTAAACAAGTTTTCCCCACAAATATAACATGCTAATGATTTTAGCACTAGCCTACGACATTTTACATTGTATAAATTAGCCTTGTGGCTAGGGGACTTTTTCCTCTACGCATATGATGCCAAGAGCAACATTTAACAAAGGAAACGTTACACAATTCAGCTCCATTACTACTCACAAGGTTCACCAACAAAACAACAGTCTTATACTTAACAAGTTTTAGAAACAAATATAACATGCTAACGTTATTAGCACAAGCCTATGGCATTTTACACACACACACACACACACACAAATTGTTTTTTTTTTTAATTCAATCTTTGTGAGGATTTTTAAGGAGAACCACATCAGGAGAGTCTCAAAAGCTCATTTACATTAAGTTTGTGTGGACCAAAATGCTGGTCCCACACCATGAGTGGGACCCCATAAACATCGGAAAACACACACTTTAACATTCACACACACACATAAAACATACCCACAAAGTGATGACAGGTCTAGTATTCTACGGCACTGGTCTAGTGCTGCCGTGGCTCCTCTCTGTTGAGCCAGCGGAGGTGGGCGGGGTTTTCCAAACAATCCAGCCAATCACAGCCACCCACGACCGGCCGCTTGAGTACGCTGCTCTGCTATGAGTGACTGGGAGAAGAGAAGCAATGCTAAATCTCAGGTTAGCGGTCGACACATGGGACTGTTGAGAATAAAGCGAAGCATTACTTAGAATAACATCGACTAAAGTTTGCGGGACATAAGGACATTGGAGCTGCCTGATGCTAAGCTCACCATGGTGTCCATAGACCATGTCGCTCACAAAATACTGACTTACATCCCTTATGTCCTTGTTTTGATTGACATGAGATATGAAGGTAAGAAGCTGAGTATACTTTCCTACACAAGCCAATGATAGCATGTTACCTTGAGCTAGCACAGAACTTTGTCCACAGTTCAGACAGGCAGTGTGTAGTCAAAGTAACGTTAACGTTACATGGCTAATGTCAACGGTAACGTTAGCTTGTGATATCGATTAGGCTAACGTTAAGCTAGCTGTTATCACTTATGCTAACTTAAATTTAGACAAACCGTTTAGCTTATTAGTTAAAGCAACTAGTTAATTTGAGCTCAGGGGTAATTAAAAACTAAACTGCCACTGGTCATATTAACGTTAGCTTGTTAATGTTAGTGTCTTTCGTATTAGCTAACCGAACGTAACTTAGAACTTATGACAGCTAGCTAGCTAACCTTCATGTCAAACTAACTCTAGTTTGACGTTACTGACTTTATCAATGCGACAAGCTGCTGTCTGTCACTGGTCGGTAATTAACGTGAGCCAATTTAATGGAGTACTGCACTCTTGTAACGTAGTTTGTGTTAATATGCTCCCTATTGTAGTGCAGGATATCAGTATTGTGTGTGTTTTTCAGGAGTGAAATGTGGCAGGGATGGGAGTGTTGACAATCATATGGAAATGGGGAAGAAGCTGCTCGCTGCTGGCCAGCTAGCTGATGCCCTGTCTCATTTCCATGCTGCTGTGGGTAAGTGTCAGAAACATGCCAAGTTTAAAAATACTTTTACCTTAGTTTTTATAATTTAAAACTTAAATAATTATGTTTTCCTTGTCCGTTTGTCAGATGGAGATCCCAAAAACTACATGGCCTACTACAGGAGAGCTACAGTGTTTCTGGCAATGGGGAAGTCAAAGTCTGCTCTGCCAGATTTGAGCAGAGTTATTGAACTCAAACCAGATTTCACATCTGTGAGTTTCCCTTTTTACATTAGTTGGTCTGCAGTCATTTATTTTCACACAGTTGAATGTGTGCTGACATAGCCATTGTCAGTGTTGTGATTTGATGTTGTTGTGTTTGTGTTGGATGCTGCTATTTGACCTTGTGTTGGCTAGGTCCATAGATAGATAGATAGATAGATAGATAGATTTTCAAGCAAATCAAAGGCACATACAAACACATAACTTAGTGCACCATTAAAAAAGTACAAATATTATATAGAAGACACAATTGTGCAAACAGGCAGGTAGGAGTAATAATTTCTCTGGGTTTTCTCTGGGTACTCCGGCTTCCTCCCACAATCCAAAGACATGCGGGTTAACTGGTGACTCTAAATTTACTGTAGGTGTGAATGTAAGCATGGGTGGTTGTCTGTTTCTGTGTGTCAGCCTTGTGATAGTCTGGCAACCTGTTCAAGGTGTACCCCACCTGTCACCCACTGTCAGCTGGGATAGACTCCAGCCCCCCGCGACCCCCAACAGGATAAGCGGTTACGGAAGATGAACAAGTGAATGAACATCTTATAAAATAATAGCATTCTCTGATGCAGCCATACTGTGTTAAATGCCAGTATGGCTTAGGAGGTTTAGGACCTCTTATATCTGTTCCAGCTAGTTCTTGGGACCCTAAATCGACAGCCAGATGGGAGCAGCTCCAACTCTGAGTGTTACGGATGTGAGGCATCTGCATTTATATGTTTGCCCTTTCTTTCTCCAGCACTGTCGAATGTATTGCAGACTTGTTTCTGTGACTTTCTAATCTCAGAGAGCTAGTTTTAGCTCTTTGGCTTTCGAGTTGCCATGCTATGCTGTTATGTCAAATGATAAAACTCTTTCAACCAGGCTTCTGTTTGCCATTTCATATATGTGTCGGCTAACGCCAAAGCTCCTCAGCTTCCTGATTAAAAATAACCGCTGACTGGCTCTCTTAAAAATGCCAGTGACATAAAGGTGTATCATATTTGCACACAGTTGTGTGTGATACTGCAGACTTACATTTTTGCGCAGATAGCGCTGTGTGAGAAACACATTTACTGTACGCAAATAATTGGAAGAAAAGGATGTATTTATATATGCTATATATGTGCAAGTTTTCCAGTTTAAATCAGCTCCAGGCACAACTGTGCTGGGAAACTGTTCAGCTATGTCAGCTGTGTTGATAAAACTAAATTTGCACTCTTACGTAAAAGTTCCCTTTCTTACCAGGCACGCCTTCAGAGGGGGAATCTGCTCCTGAAGCAGGGGAGACTAGATGAGGCAGAGAGTGACTTCAAGAAGGTGGTAAGTATAGTAACATCCAGTTTAAACTCTACAGCAAGAATACTGAGAAGAAGTCACTAACATGTTAGATAAGCAGAGTTCACCAGGAGGTGTCAGTGTTGATCCGTAGTCTGGTGTTATGGTGACGCTACACTCAAGCATGAAGGCTTTATGTTTTATAAATATGACTTGAAATAAGGGCAATAGTTTGACTTATACACAGCTTTATTGTTGTTAAGGATATTCATGTTTTTCCAGTCGGTGTGCACACTTTATTTGTATAATTAGTTTCCCTGTACTTTACAGTCACACTATGAGGTTGATAACATGAGAGGCTTTGTTAATGATGGGGCTGAATGGCCCCAACAAAAGACTTTGAAACCAAGTAGCAAGGATATTAAAAAAGCACATGCACATAGGCCACATAAGACCTTAGAGAAGGATACCCTGCATCCATAAGCCATCTTAAAAGATGTAGATCATAATTAAATTGGCAGTGAACTCTCATTCGGGCCTTCAGGGATCATTTTAAGGTGCTCGTTAAGGATTAAGACTGAAGCTCGCTAATGCATTTTCCATTTGAATTACCATTTTCACAGAGAAGTTTCACAACACTCCCAGAAGACACAAATGCCCTTGTTACATCTACTATTAATTCTTAGATTCCATTTAAAGCTGCTGTATTCTCGGGTGAGGTAATCACACAGGCAAAAATTAAGTTCCTCTTCTATATGCGGATAGGATGTGAATGTCAGTGGCACATTGTGCTAGGGGCATGTGGCGAGCCTGCAGCCTCTTAAGTCTCTTTTGATCATTAGTTACCAACCTTTAAATACTCTTCTACTGAACACATGCAGAAAACCTGTCAACCTTTGCTTTGCTGTATTGTAAGTAGGTTGAAGCTCAGTAGTTGGTCATGTATTCCTGTTCGGCTGGCTGTAATGTGAAACCTCAGGTGGGGAATATGAAAGTATTTAATGTGCTCATCTACACTGATTGATCAAGGCTCCCAGTTTGTCTGTGAGCTTGCCTGTTTTACTTCAAGTAGGTTACCCTCACTTGGGGTGGGTGGAGGAAATAAAATCAATGAATTAATTTAATGCATACATAAAAAAACACTGATTTCTTCTCACTGAGCTGACATGAAAAAAATATTGGTTTTAAATTTGTGCCTTCAGTCAGCTCAGTGAAGGGAGGTTAGCCAGCCGCTGTCCACTCAGCTTCTCAGGAGCTGCTGCCTCCTGATGATGTAAAGTTTTAAATTTGCAGTCAAGTGTGGTGCCTCTTTCTCCAAGAGGGCAAGGAGCCACATTCCCAGCACAGGTCTAAAGGCATACGTGGGCAACATTTTGCTGGTATAATGTCAAGGGATCTGGCCAGAGGTGTGTGCTGTCCTGCTGCTTCAGCAGTCCACGGCGTCGGCTTAGCTTAATGCATCACATTTATGCATTATACTTTTTCCTAAGCCGAGGGAGCAGGAAACACGTTTCAGAGTACTCGAGTCTATATGTAAAGGATGTGTCGTTAGCTGAGATTGCTCTTGTGAATATGATGACCTCTGTGATGAAGATGATTATAATGTAAAGGGTTCAGGGAATGGTAAGCACTGCTAACGCTGTGATAGGCAATGTTTTCAAGAGGCAGAGTCAATATTAAAAAGCTCTTCACAAATATAAGAGTTCATATTGGAATGTGTTGGTGAAGGACTGACTAAAATTTTTATAAGCACACTGATTTTCTGGTCTACAGTCTACATCTCATATTCCATATTCTGTTCTGGCCTCTATCTTTTTTCGTCACTCTTGCTTTTTGCTTAAACCATGATTATGAGCATGCAGTGTAACATCTTGCCTTGCAATGTTCCAGCTGAAGTCCAACCCCAGCGCCAAAGAGGAGGGGGAAGCCCAGAGTCAGCTGACAAAGTCAGATGAAATTCAGCGGCTGGTGGCTCAGGCACGCAACAGCTTCAACAGCCAGGATTACGTGACAGCAGCTGCCCAGCTTGACACTGTCATTGAGGTAAGATGCCTACCTTGTCAGCAACGCCTAATTTTCCTGCGAGCATGACACTTTCCATGTTATCACCACTGCAGAGCGTATAGAGCATTTGTATAGTAACAAGCACTGCAGTTTGTAAGAGCCCTTTGTCTGCCTGCTACAGACTTGCGTTTGGGATGTGACCTCTCGTGAGATGCGAGCGGAGTGTTTCATTCAAATGGGAGAGATGGGGAAGGCCATCAGCGACCTCAAAGCTGCATCCAAGTTAAAAAATGACAACACCCAGGCTTTCTACAAACTCAGCACCATCTACTATAATCTCGGAGACCATGAGATGTCCCTCAAGTAAGACCCACTTGCAAACTGCCTTCTTTGAGGAAGTGTTAGACATTGTGACAGGATTTAACAAAGTGTCACTACGAGATAACATTCGGATTTTAAGGTGTTTTTGCAGTATCAAACATGGCATAATCATACAGCATTTCTAATTGATTAAGTGAAGATATATGTTGTTGTCGGACCAGAGGATCTTTTTCATAGCTCTACAGTAAGTACCCCCCTTTTTTTTGTTGTGTCTGCACTGCAACAAATGGGAACAATCAAAGTTCGTGGAATGGGGTTTTAGCTCCTATTTTAGAGTAGGTATTCTCCCAGTACAAGAGGAACCATAAGTGACCTAAGTGTATGACGATTGGTTGAACACAGTCGGTGCACCATCGGCAACTGCCATTTTTAAAAACCTGTTAGCTGTGTCAACAACAGACAACACAAAATGGAAACAACAGCTCGTAACGGAAAAAAATAGAAGAAAAAACTGGACAAATGGCCAAACATTGAAGTCCTGTTTTCACTGAGCGTATATGCAAAGGTGAAAATACAATGTAGTTTTGACTCCTCAAAGCAAAAGTGACATTGCTGTACCAACTACTAGCTGGCTTACAGTATTTGACTTCAGTGTTCCCATTGGCGGTCTGAATGCAAACAGAAAAAAGCCCTTAAAGATATGTAGTTCTCGTGAGCAGTGCCTCTTGGGGAGTCCTAATTTGGTCCGAAAATGCCTATGATCTTTCAGTTTTTTCTAAATGTCATTGATTGAAGCTCTACTTCGTATCAGTTTAGTGCTGTAGAGGGCCATTAGCAAAGTGTTACTTATAAATACATGCTTGTTTCCTTTGTTTAAATGATGTGTGACAGTGAGGTGGACAAAATAACACTAAATATATCATGACACAGTGAAGTTGTCCTGCAGTTAATGGCTCATAAAGCTTGTTTATTGTTGACTCTGTTCTTAAACGTCGTGTTCATTTCTGTAGTAATGACCCCTCAAAGTATAAATACTTTTCAGTCATGCACAAACACGCATATTACTTGCATATGTAGCTAACAAGACAAAAAATTAGCCGGTTCTGACCCTCCTCCTCTCCACATCTGATCTGCAGCGAGGTGCGTGAGTGCCTGAAGCTCGATCCTGATCACAAACAGTGTTACAGCCACTACAAGCAGGTCAAGAAGCTCAACAAACAGATCCAGTCTGCCGAGGAACTCATCCAAGAGCAGAGGTGTGTGTGTATGTTTGGGCAATTGTACATCCCTGTAAATATAAAATAATATCCTCTCTGAATACCAGGAATTGCATCAGCCTCTAGAATGACTGCTTCCTTTCCCTCAAGCTCTCCGACTTTTCTGATCTTACAAACAGGCATGCAAATCCCATCTCAATGTGAATGGATGTCACATCAAATTTGACATACATAAGATATCACATTCACAAGACTGAACAGAGCGAATAAGAGAGCGGCATGATGTTCGTGGGTGCAATGATCCATGTTGCTTTCTGCCGTATTGACAGTGTCACAGCGTTGTTTAAACACCCACCTGCTTCCTGCTCTTTTAGGTATGAAGACGCAGTGAGCAAATATGAGGCGGTGATGAAGACGGAGCCCAACGTGCAGCATTTCTCCCTCCTTGCCAAAGAGCGCATGTGCCATGCTTTGGCACAGGTGAGACCCCTTACTGCGACCATGAGATACATTAGCTCAGTCTTTGACTTCATTAAACAGTACGTCTAATTAAACGTGTTTTCTTTGTGTCACGAACAGGGCCAGCAGGCCAACAGAGCTATCTCAGTGTGTGGTGAGGTTCTCCAATCCAACCCGGAGAACGTTAACGTGCTGAAGGATAGAGCTGAGGCCTACGTCCAAGAGGAACAGTATGAGGAAGGTAAGCCTGTCAGAGGTAGCTGTATCTGGTGGGGATCTATTCATTTTTCAATTTAATGGAGTTAGCCTGTGAAATTTTCGCACTCAAACCGGAATCACACTAAATGCTATTGAGTCTACAACCACCCTTTACTGGGAATTTATTTATTTCAGTTGTGTAAGTCCATGGACACTATGACACAGCTGTTGCATAGATGGCAGTTGTTTGGCAAGAAAGGCCTTGTCTACATGTATACAGGTATTTTTGAGAACTCATATTTTCCCCCTGCGTTAAAAAACAAACAAATCTGTCCTAACTTTTGTTTCACAAATGATCCTGTCCACACTTTCGCCAAAACACCTACTAGTAATCTCATAATTGCGGATTTTCAATCAATTGAAGAATTACGCAGCTCACACAAAGATATGAGTGATGTTCTGGACATGTAAAAGTTTTCCTTTCATTCCTCATTGACCACAATCCCACTCTCAAAATCGTCCAACCATCTGCTGGTTCGACCAGGCCGATCCAAAGCCATTGCTTTTGGCGGACTTTAAACAGCAGACGCAAAGGTGGACCAAATAACACTGCCTTCATTCATCTATAAATTAGTACAGTAATACAAAGTTTAAGTTTGACCGGTAGTCCACCATTGTTGTCATTGTTTCTAGCATATGCTCATCACATAAAGCAAAAATGAGCATGCGCGAATAAAGATGACATCATCATTTCCCAAACGCTCTATTTTACATGTCTACACAGATGCACAGTAGCTTGAGTTTAGAGAAATCTGCGCCTTAGATGGTGTTTTAAAAAATCTCAGTTTCAGTGGCCTAAAACTTTGCATGTCGAAGAGATGCAATGTAGACAGGGCCAAAGTCTATAGGTTTATTTACACTGTACACTGTACACACACACACACACACACACACACATATTTATGTTTTTTTTTTTTTTTTAAAGTTTTGTTGAGAGCTGGGTCATTTAAATGAAGTTACTGCAATCTGCACTTAGTTGCCAGTTTATTAGTCAGACTCTAACACAAGAGTCCTGCGGTTAATTTTACTTTGATGAAGATTATAATGCTAATTTTTGTTGAAACTGTTACAGAGAGGTGTTGATTTAACTGTATGATCATTTTGGAGGCTGCAGTTGTGGTGCTTTTGAACTGTATTGCACTATCCAAAGAGGTGTTTCTGCTTTTCAGCCTGTGATATAAATCTGGTGGAGAAGATAATAGAAACACCCGTCAATTCAACAGCACCACAAACTTCAGCCTCTTAAATAATCAGTAAAATCAACAAAAACTAAACATTTATTGAATAGCTGTTTGTATCGGACTGCATTATTTTTAGCTAAGTGTACCTAACAAACTGGCAGCTGAGTGTCTGTTGTAATAATCCCAAACCTGCTACACTGTACACAGGTGTCATGGCAGGAGTCTAACACAGGGGGTCCTTGTAACACTACAAAAAAACTACACAGTGAAATTAGATTTAAATATCAGTGACACATCATATGAGCATCGTACCATCTGATCATTTGATTTGTTGGAACGTGTTTATGTTTACCAGGAAACTAATGTGATTTTAATGTAAACATCTAAAGAACATGCTGTCAGGCAGCATACTGTCAGAAATGGGATGGATGCTCACATTAAATTAAATTGTGCCTCATTTAACACAATCTGTCTGTTCATCGCCAAATCCATTTTGACTTTGAATTTAAATAAACACTATCAAGACTAAACGTAGATAAATGCAGCCGGGGTGTCCTTATCTAATTTGGTTAAAGCATATAACTACTATGTCTAAAGCCTGAATAAGACAGACGTCATCCGTTAGAGCATTTATCTCACACAGTGTAATTAGAATGAGGTGTGGAGCACAGTGTGTTAAGAATAAGTATAGCCTGCGAGATGTAGAGCTGCCCCGCACTGCTGGCTGAAATTATGCAGAATTTCTTGTTTATCAAGCCTAAAGCCATTCTTCAGTGGCAGTGCCAAAGCGCACACACACACACACACACACACACACACAGCACTTACTATCTCCATAAAGCCTTTTCTGGCAGAGAGGGAATTAGGCTGAAACAACGGTCTCCCCTATCTGTTGTCAAATCGTAGAAAGTCCAGTGAAGGCAGATGGTGAAATCCCCGGGAATTTTGTGTTCCAGCCATCATCTTACCTGTCGCCCGATGTTCTGCTGCTGCCGTGCAAACAGCCAACGGATATTTTTGTCAAAATCCCTGCCCACATTTTATGTTTATCTGTCAATTAAGTTTGAAATGTAATGTAAGCTGTTCCACCCATCTCCGTGTCTTTGCGCACAGATTGCAAATGCGATGTCCAAACCCGGGTTCCTACAGAATAACTTTCACTCCAGCTGCTTAATTTGAAACTGCTACACATTCGATGCTTTAATGACTACCAGTTCGATACTAGCCAAAAACTGAATCAGATACCAGAAAAATTTGATAAAAGTTATGACAAGTAATGACACTTTGGTTTGGTACAGAACTCGGTGCCTGAGAACGCATCTTAAGTACGAGACTGTGCAGCGTCCTGGCTGTGACTCGGCCGCCAGGGCTGATTGCGTCCACTCTTGACAATGTAAGGCTGGACCAACCGTGTCACAGCCTGAACGTAGCACAGCAGCACCAGGTGAAAACCACCCGTACGTCTAGACTACAGGCGTAACAGATCTGTTTTTTTCTTGCTCGTCTCACGCAGCAGATACGCTCTCATTTTCTTCTGTGCAGCTGTCTGCGGCGGCTCTCTCTGAGACGGTCGCGTCTCGGCTCTGTCTAATAGATTTATTTATGCTTCAAGTCTATCTTTTTTCGACAACACGCGTAAATGTGAGCCTAATGTCCAATAAAAAGGCACTGAATAACCATATTTATCTATGTTTCTGCAACCTGAGCGGAGCAGAGTGTGCTGCTCTTTAGACAAAGCCAGAGAGCAGTACACTGCTCTGGTTTCTTAAGACTCCCTTAACATTTGCTCAGCAGCTGGAAGTTTGGACTTATTTTGCACAACTGAAATTACATTTTTTGTTATTTTTGGGAAGAGTGAAGTATCGAAAAATGTACAGTTGGGCACTGGTACTGAACTGCAGGTTTCAATACTTATCAGTTTGAATTTGAACGGAGCCAAACCATAGTGGCAGCTGAAGGAGAGCAGCTGCTTGCTGGACAAAACAAAAAAAACACAAGGAACCAAAAGAACACTTAACAATAGAGCTTTTGTTGATTTATTAATGTGACAAACCCAAAGTTGAAAATGTACAATTCAAGACAAAGTGGCTTTAATGATCAAGACAGGAATCAGAGGATATTATTACTGACATTGGCAGAGACTTCGTCATGACCACTGAGTGACACCGTCCTGGCCAGTGTTTTCATTGTCTGTCTTCACGATTTTCATGAAACCTGAAACCGCTTCCTGTGCGTCAGGCTGCAGCACTCTATTGATTTGCACTACATAAACTAAAACACTGTAAAACAATGACTCATAACCAACCAGTGTGATGCACACAAGAGGAGAGGTTTTCTGTGCCTGTTTTCCAATAGCCTGCTGCTAGTTGTCGAAATCTAGGAAACTGAAGGGGATTTGTTGTGTGTGACCACAGTTTGACAGTGTGCGTCATTTAAATTAGGCTGCAGATGGAAAACATTTGTACCTAATACTTGAGACTTTAATATGGCTGTACAGGCAGTTAATTAGCTGAAGAGAAAGGCTGTCATACAGCACAGGTGAGATGCTGTGGATGGGAGAGTCAAGTCAGAATCAGACAGAATCTCTTCTGTCATTACTGCCACAATGAGTGCACATTTTTAAAGAGTTGTTAATTGTTAGTGTTTGTTGGGGCAGTTCTGACTTTATTTTAGCTAGGAAAGAGATGAAAAGCAATGATGAACGAAAGAGATGAGGGTTAGGGGTTGTCCCTGCCTGGATTTTAACGTGGTCCATTATGATTACATGTTACACATCTTAGACCAGGAGGCCATCATAACTTCCCTGGAAATATTTTTTTCTGTGCAGCTAAATATCTTATCATTAAACAATGCATTATAAAGTGAAGCAGGCAAATGAAACATGAATAAAAGACGTTTGTGAGATTTTTGAAAAGGATTATGTGAATATAGGACGCAGGAACAGGGTGCTGCTGACCTGGAAGGAACCTCAGTGTGCATTAACATATGCCACTTAGCCAGTGCGGAGCTGCGCTTTGTGCATATGCTAAAAAATGAAGCACTCTGGTTTCTTTGTCTGATGGTGAAGTGTTTGAAAAAGCAAAACTTTTAACCTATGTTGACAGGTTTCTAGAGATGCAAATACATGATAGATTCATTTAATCATCAAGTGCTAGTGCGGTTTGTTTGTGGTGAGAACGTGTTTCAACCTCGATCTGAACCAACTGTGTCTATTAATGTGCACCTCCTCCTATAATGACTTAATATGCACATTTGGCACATCCAATGCATCAAAACATTGTTTTCTAGCTGGAGCCGCACCTCGTTTTCAAACTGTATGGTTTGACTAAAATGAACAATGACAGCAATATAGTCCACGATGAGCAGCGCTAAAATCAACCTGCGTAGTTGTCCCTCCATTGTGACATTAGAAAGTGTCACATTTATCTTGCAAGTGTACTCTTCTTCAACGTTTGGTTTACTTCCTGGATTTTTCCTGCATGGAAATTCTGACCAATCAAGAGCAGCTTTCTCGTGCAAGGCATTTAATGTGATCCGCTTGTAAATGCTGCCGTGACAGCATGAACCGACTCTAGGAAATTATGTAACTTTGGAACAAACTTAGTCCCTGATTTGGACCAAAGCAAGACAACTCTAGGTCTGAAAGCACTCTTTAGGGACCAAATGTCCCCAACGTATCATATTTAAAAGGAAAAAACAAAGCATACAAAACCGTCCAAGTACACCCACAATCACCATCACTTCAGGCAGGTCGGCCCCAGAGTAATGACATACTGAGGCTGTGTATGTTGTCATAAACATGGCATGAACACATCAGCAGGTGGGAACGTCAGACCTCATGTGGGCTTTTAAACTGTCAGAACCCATGGGTGTTAAATTCACCTCAGTACACCTCACAGGGTAAACAAGCCTCAAAGCACCCAAACGTGCACGCACAAACAGCCCGGAGCTGCTGCAGCATGATCTGTAGGTGATGATGAATAAAGTGGTTTATTTAACAGTGTGGGATCAAGTATTTTCAGAGATGAGATTAACAAGGACGCTTTCGATACCAACGATTCCAGCAACAGTAACATTTTATATTGTCATTCTCAGTTATTTTCTGCTGATTGTCAGACATTACATCACTTAATTCACTACAGATGATCACATGTCCAAGACAGCAGTCTCAGCAAGGCTCAATGGCGAGTTAAAATTTGCGTTTTCAGTGCAAAACTATTTAAGTGCAGTTATTTATCTTCTGATAAATGTGGCAGTCAGTTTGATTTTTAGCCATGCTGGCAGCATAACTATAAAGATGACAGTCGGTCCAGACCTTCAAGGCCCCCTCAGGAAGAATTGTAATAACTTTGGTGATCCTCCGACTTCTCTTCTAACACAGCCATCAGGTCAAAATTTAAATTTGCCCAAAGCACTCTGATTAAATTCCTGCTAAATTGAGCACAATCACATCAGCATCAGCTATGTTTAGTGCTAATAAGAAAATGCTAACATGCTTAAAGGGTAACTCTGATATTTTTCAACCTGGACCCTATTTTCCCATATTTTTGTTTCTAAGTGACTAATGGGAACAACAGTTTTTGAAATTGGTCCAGTACCGAGCTTCAGAACGGGCCGCAATGTAACCACTCGGGGAATGTTTGCACTGTCAGTGTTACTCATCTAAAAGTGGTTATTTTTGGAAGTTGGGTGCTCAGATAAGTGTCTGAGAACATTATGGAAAGAATCCCTACAGACATAAAACTTGTTGTTTAACTAAAAACAACCCTAAAATCACTATTGCCAATGCACCAGACTCCATTTGGTAACACCTTACTTGAAGGTATCTACATAAGGGTGACATGACACTGTCATGAACCTGTCATGAACATTATGTACATGTCATAAACGTTCATGACTGCTGTCGTTAATTGTCATTAGGTCTTTGTAATGACAAGTTGACATTGTTTGGGTTGTCTTGATTATGACAAATTGACATTAATCACCAGAAGTCGTCTTTGTCATGACAAGTTGACATTAAAGTTGTTTGGGATGTCCTTATAATGACAAGTTGACATTAACATAAAGACATCTTCTGGTAATGTCACTTTGATTAATGTCAAGTTGTCATAATCAAGACAACCCAAACAATGTCAACTTGTCATTACAAAAACAAAATGACACTTAATGACAGCAGTCATAAACGTTTATGACATGTACACAATGTTTATGACAAGTTCATGATGGTGTCATGTCATAGTTATGACAGTGTCATGTCAACCTTATGTAGATACCTTCAAGTAAAGTGTTACCCTCCATTTAAATACTTTTAAATACTTTTAACAACTTTGAACAAATGGTGTTCTACAAGGATAAAATTACTGATAATTTAAATGCAGTCTGGTGAATTTGGTGATGGTGATTTTGGGGCTTTTTCCAGTTAAACAGAAAGGATCTTACTCTTTAATAAAAAGATCTGCAGGGTCCTTCACATGATATTGCCAGACATTTAAAGCCTGTCAGTGGCAAACAAAGCACTTTTAGTGTATGTAAAATAATGCGAACATGCCCCAAGTGGTTATACTGCAGCTTGTTTCGCAACTGCCAGTTGCAGCCTTGTCACTCAGTATTACACCAGTCACTCAGTCATGTCCCAGTTCGTCTCTTAGGCACAAAAACATGGGAAAACAGGGTCCAGGTTAAAAAAAAAAACCCCAACTTAAATTATCCTTTAACCAAGACAGTTAGTGTGGCATCGCCATCGTGAGCATGTTAGCATTTAGATCAAAGCACGACTGTGCCTAAGTTCAGCCTCACAGCAGATAAAATGACTGTAGACTCTTAGTCTTTTTTATGGGATGCTCATACAGCCACTCGTCTCCTGCATCGAGGTCACTTTACATCAGGCTTTAGGTGAGTCATCAAAGTGTTTCAGTGTTACTGTAAGTTATAAATTCATAGATGCAGTGCCAGCAGTGCCATTTGTGTAGGAAACTGGATGTAGCCTTGTACCAGAGCAACAGTGATGCCACAATGGCAGATTTGAGGACATAAAGCACAGATTGAAAGGTAAAACGATTATTGTCAGTTGATCCATGCAAATTTCTTTGTGTCTTTTGTTCTGTCATCTAACTGAAGGCTTGAGCACACTTGAGCATTTTAGGTGGATGCTTGCCACAACAAGGTCTAAAGGTTATGTGTTTCCTCTCGCTGAATGACTGTGTTTAAATACTGTACTTCACTTTCCATTAGCCACTTTGGATGAGTAAGCGATACTGATTGTGTCCTCCATTTTTATTTTCCAGCTATTAAGGACTACGAGACTGCTGCCAAACACAGTGAGAATGACCGTCAGATAAAAGAAGGCCTGGAGAGAGCTCAGCGACTTCTCAAACAGTCTCAGAAGAGGGATTACTATAAGATCCTGGGAGTGAAGAGGTGGGCACTGATCACTGGAGTTTTGGCTCCTTGTTTCCATTCATATCGGAGTTTTACGGGGGAAGTTGAGAAGAACTGGTGTGTTGTTATCTTTTTTAACAAATGGGTTGCTTTACAAGACCGCATCTGAAAGCAATTTGTTTTCAGATTGTATTGAACAAGCACTGCTCTACAAAGGAGCCCCACTGCAATGGAAACCACATCATTTATCCTCTTTGAACATTTCTGTGCTCAAAAGCACTGCTGACAATTCAAGATAGATTACATTTTTAAAGCAATAAAAAGTAATGGTTTATTACACAAGAGCGAATGTGGTAACCTTGACAACTGGATGAGTATTATTAGGTCCAGCTTGTGTTGAAAGGACGGGAAAGAAAAGCTGTTTTTATCCGTCATACATGTGCTGATGATGCTCTCCCCGTTGTCGCAGAACTGCCCAGAAAAAGGAGATTATCAAAGCCTACAGGAAACTGGCACAACAGTGGCATCCGGACAACTTCCAGGATCCAGAGGAAAAGAAGAGGGCTGAGAAGAAGTTCATTGACATCGCTCAGGCTAAAGAGGTTCTCACTGACCCAGGTAAAAAGTTTTGTGGTCTGCAGAGTCAGTGGAAAGTTGTTACTGTCAGTCTTGCAGTAAATGCCAGGCCTCTGAGGGGCTGCTGTGAACAGCTCACTACTTGCTATTTTGTTGAAGTAGCTGGAGACCTTCATTGTTTTCCTGGGTACCTTTCTTACATCAGTTAAATGGTTTTATACAGTACAAACAATCTTACAGACAACACAACTTATTTAGTAATTAAACCATATCAAGTTAGAGTGATTGGGAAAGAAACTTTCCATCCCTGTAGTAACTCATCAAAGTCAGATTAAGTCCATTAAGGAGCCCAGATGAAATAAAGTCAAACACTAAATCTCCTGTGTATGAATGTACCAAGCAGATGCAGAATTTCTGAAAACATGACAGTATTTGTTTTTCTCTAGTATCAAGTACTTAGGATGCAATTCTTCCAGACCTGACAGTGCAGCAAGTGCTGACAAGTGTTCTAGTCTGCTGGTGAAGGTCCCAGTGTGGATTTAATGGCATCTAGCTGTGAGGACAGATTGCAACTACCTAAAACTTCTCCCGCTTAGATTTCCTTCAGTTGTCATTGTTCAGGAGGGGTTACTCCTTCTCCAAACAAACAGATGGGGTGATTTTAAAAAAAAAAAAAAAAAAAAAAATCAGTGTTTTTAGGACACTCTCTTCGCAGCGGGGCTACAAACTGCGGTGGCCGACGTGTGAACAGGAAAACGCGAAAGGCCCTATCTAGAGCCAGTGTCTGGTTTGTCTGTTCTGGGCTACTGTAGAAACACAGTGGTGCAACATGGCGATCTCTGTAGACAAGTGCTGTGTCTCAAATCGCGTACTTCTGTACTTACACTTAAAATTTTGAGTGCATAAGTGCGTTCACACTGAGAAGTATGGAAAAATGCAGTACGCTGTGAGTACCCAGATGGAGCACTCAAAACGGTCATGAAGTTGAGTGTGGAACTATGGACACTTCTTGCCCTCAATGGTCGCCATCTTGGCTACGTAGCGGAAGGGGAGGGACCACTTTTCAAACTGGAAATGGCGGCCGGGGACTGTGCGACTGTGAACATCGCTGCATTGTACAAATACATGTTTTGTGCACTAAGCATCACTATACTGTTGTTGGGTATAAGCCAGCAGTATGTTTATTGGGTTAATTTAGCAATCTGTAATGATTTGGTACCGCGAATGATAACGAGAATGCTAATGCTAGTTTGCTAACTAGCTAATTTTCGGTGAGTGCACAACGGCCGTGTTTGGTTTGAGACAATACCATCCTGTTGAAATTTGCGCACTATGCCAATGAGTACATAGTGCACACAGTATACTACATAGAAGTATACTAACGGAAGTATGTGATTTGAGACACACCAAAGGACCTGCTCTCTGTGTAGATATGAACAGCTCATTCTAAGATAATCAAAACATGATTCTTATTCTCAGGTTATTATACACTAATGAAAACATACTTATATATTTCCTTTAATCCTACATACTGGACCTTTAAATGCCACAGAAAGAAGCACAACACCAGCAGAAACAACAGACAGTGACAAGTGCGGCTACAGTGACAGCTTTGTCTCAACTTGTCAAAAAGAAAAGCTTTTTTTTTTTTCATGAGCGTTACGCATTTTTTGCAATTGTAGCACCACACATTTACACTATGCCACAAACACCAGCAACGTGACGAGGCGCTGAGTGTCTATCATGTTTGTCTCCGGTGGCCGAGAGTTGTAAAATGTTCAACTTTGGGTAAAAAAAAAAACCAAACTGTCATGTCCTTAATATAGGGGAGCCCAGACGTAACGTGCAGTGTGACTCCTCCCTACCCTCATCACTCCCAAGACAGGCCAGAAGAGACACCACCTGTTTCTCATCACCCTCTCACACACTCCGAGAGGAGGAGAGATCTGACACACCATCGTTTTGCCTCTCTGCACTCTTTCTCTTTTCCTCTAGATTTAGTCCATCAAAAACTCCTGTCATATACGCACCAGAACTTGCAGTTTCATACAAAAATAAATAAAAAACACTAATAAATTGGGGAGAACACGACCCAGTTCAAGCCAGGAGGAATAAGGAGAACTTGCAGCCTGGACCGGCCCGAGCCCAGCAGGTTGTGTTGGGCCCAATTGAGCTCAGGCAGAGATGTATACCTGAGTAAATATTATTTTGTTAAGTTCTGTACTGATTTGTTTTTTCTTCCAGAGATGAGAACCAAGTTCGACCACGGTGAAGACCCTATGGATCCGGAGAGCCAGCAGGGTCATCATCACCACCAGCACTTCCACGGAGGCTTCCACGGCTTCCAGGGTTTCAATCCATTCGGCTCTGGACCCTTCAACTTTAAATTCAACTTCAACTGAGGAGGACGCTCACATCCGGCACAGCTGGAATTACCGTATTTTCCTCCCTATTTAAAAGGGAGATCGCTGGCATGAGGAATGTCATGAGTCTCACAAAACTGTGGAGCAAATTGTGACTTTAATTCAGTGACCTTAATTAAATATGCATCTTTGTTGTTGAAGGAATTCCGTTTTGGGGAAGGTCTGTTGCTATGCTAACAAATACCTGCCATGTGTGAAGCAGCTTTTATCTGTCACATGTAAGTGGTTAATTGGGACACTTGCATCCTTTCCACGTACTGTACGCTCTACCATTCACATCCATTCATAAGATTCTATTTGTACATAAGTACAGTACTATTTTTATATGAATGGAGTTTTTCTGAGATGTAAATAAAGACCTATTTATGTACCTTACCTTGAGCTGAGGGACAGGAGTGCTGCTGTATGGAAAGGTTGGAGAGTGGCTACAGTTTTAGAAACAGCACTTCTTCATGATTACATCTAACCTTTTCCTAATTGCAACAGCCTCTCTCCCATAAATGTATTTTCATGTGGTGAAATGGTTCACGGCGAGGAACAAATTACAGTGAACGAGAATCACGTCATACTGGACCTTTCAGCGTATGAATCGCACATCCACTGACCACACAGAAATCACAAACAGATTTTATAATGACTTTTGTAGCAAAGGTTTATTTTTCCACCAGACAGTAATATAAACATTTGTATTTGACACAGCACAGTGACAGATGGGTGTCCTGAGAGCAGACAACCTGCACCCATTTTTATTGACTTTAAAGACAGAGAAAAAAAGAAACTACTATTGGTTTGGGTTGAGCAGCGACACCTGTCTTATTCCTGAGACAAAAACACTGGTTCATCGTGGAATTCAAATACTGAAAAATGATTTCTAAAATTTCAAAGCAGTGAAGCTGAATGTACGCAAGATGTAAACATACAGTAATAAGTTAAAACCCTTTGTCCTACACATAAACTGTGACCTTTAGTGTGCAAATGAGGATTCTCTGATCCACAGCTTGGCCATTATAAAGCATCGCCTGGTCTGCTGAGCCAAAGTCATCTAATACACATTACTTTACAGGGACAGACACGTAAACATTTGCTAACCCCCGTCCTTACAGCGGCTGCTGAGCTACAGTTGAACAATCGCTGTTTGGGGGCGGGGTTTAGCAAATGTACATTTTCTGTGCCACCTGCTTTTCTCAGGGACAATAGGAAAATTGGGGTTGGAAGGAGAGATGAATCTTTTTCATTTTACAAAAAGAGGCACTTCCCAGACTTATTTATATTTTTGTTGGACCCTCCCTTTGACTTTAAAAAAGAAAAAGTAATACCCTCCCTATAAAATACAAAAACAAACATAAAGAGGTGAAAATACAACCACTTTCAATTTTCAATCAGTTAGGCTATGAGTCCTTTTTGAGCAGCAGCTTGGAGACTCTGAGGTAATTTGTCCTGCTGAGCCACATAGAGCACTGACAAATATCAAAACAAATTAATAACTGTTGACAACATTTTGAAGACTGAAGAAAAAACACGTGCAGAGCTGATCACACTGATCAATGTGCGACAGGGAGCATGCATCATATTCTCACTTTGTCAGACACATTTAACTTTGGTTCAGCTTTCTGTTATGATTCAGAATAAAAAAGCGACTGTACAGGATAGTCAATAACTGAAACGCTCTGTACGAGAGACATTTAGTTGGTAAAAACTAGTATGATCTGCATGTATTGTGTTTTCCAAAATGGACATTAGCCACATGATTGATGGTGATGAGGAAAATGAAGCCTTGATACAGAGACAGGGTTGATGATGCATGAAAAGCATTGTTTTGATGTTACTATTAGATCCATACTAGATCAATTTTTAATATGATAAACCTTCCCAGGTAGCCAAAATGACCTGGCCCAGAATCGGACCAAACTGGGCATGCCAGATGAACTTAGCCAGGTGGGTCCGGTTGCCCAACTTGGCTGAGACTCAGCATGAATGAGAGCCAGAATCAGGCCAAATTAGCTAGACGTATTCCAGCTGCCATCACTGGGCTGTTATCAGAAATGACCTGGCCCAGCATCTGCCCAAACTCGGCGTGCCAGATGAAATTAGCCAGGTCGCATCTGGTTATCTGACTCAGCTGAAACTCGGCATGAATGATGACCCAGAATTGGGCCAAATCAGCTGGCCTGATTCCGGCTGCCAACACTGCCAGAAATGACCTGGCCCAGCATCGGCCCAAACTCTGTAAGCCGGATGTAATTAGCTGGGCTGCATCTGGTTGCCTGACTCGGCAAAGATTTGGCATGAATGACACCCCAGAATGAGGCCAAATCAGCTGGCCTGATTATGGCTGCCGACTCAAATAGTCTTGGAGTGAGAAAAAATAAAAACGACACTCCCCTGCTCTCCCAAAAAAGGTAAAAAAAATAATAACACCCAATAATTATCGTACAGTCCCTAACTTCTAATGTAACAACTTTGCGGCAAGTTATGAAATTTACAAACAGACTAGCTTTATGTCAGTCACAACTTTGGTGCGGGCATTTCAGTCAACATCAAATCAAGAAATCAGCATTTTGAAACGTAATTTTCCATAACATATATATATATAAAAACAAACATTACACTGTAAGATTAGATTCTCAGACATGTGCCTTCTCCATTTGATTCTTTGCATACATCATCAGTGCAATATATGCCAACTATTTTCTCAAACACGCCTAATAAGAGTGCTGTGACTGACCTCACCTCATTATTCCCTCTCTGCTCACTTCATTCTCCGGTAACCACGTACGTTGCTGTAAGTGCTGAGAACACACCACAGGTTCACAGTTGGCAGTTAACACTTAAATCAGGTGTTAATTTTGTAAGACGTATCGACTGCCGAAGCAGATATGGCATCTCTGAAAATATCCCATCCTTCTCCCCGGCTGAGGATGCAACGCTCTGTGGCTAAGTTTAGATGGAATTGTCAGTCTTCAAGCTTCACAGGTGGCCGGCTTGCAAAAGGTGCTGCCTCCTTTCTCTTCAGCATGGTGCTGGCAGGCACTAAAGTTCATCACGCCGGTTGTCGGCTGTGCAGAGGGCGGGGTGGAAAGAAATAATGAAAATGTGCACCATGGTGAGAGACAGACATACTGGCCAAGAGAGGTTGATTGAGGATAGATATTTCTGTCTTATAACAAAGACAATAAACAGTGATAATCTTTTCTAACCTTTTTTATGTTGTGAGGACGATGGAGTCTGTTTTTGTGTCGCTGTGTCTTCTTGTTCCTGGACACGTCTCAGCAGCTGTTTTATCTCGTTGTCATATTCAACCCACTCAGGTACGATCCTTGCTGCGGCTGTTAACTTGGGCTCCTTGGTCTTTGGGTTATTGCACTGCAGCAGGGACAAGCAGACAAAACACATCACTCACGCCACCAGCGCCACTTTCCCCCAACAAGTCATACTGCCATTCCCTGCACTGTCTGTGGCAGGCATTTGAACCTAATTTGATTTCCAATTCTGTTAAAAGGACATTAGCCCATGTCTTGTGTCTGAATTACCAAGTGGTGTCCTATACCACAACGAGACAATGCCTCCTATTCCAGCCTACTGGAGCCCGTCCAGTAATTCTCTAAATTAGTTTAGGAGACTTCAGGATTGCTCCTCAGTTGTCTCCTAAATGCCAAGTGCCTCATGGACAATAATGGCTGGGAAATATGCTCCTGCTTTTCAGAGCAGCTACAGCTCACTATTATGACCAAAAACAGCCACACACATAATATAAATATAAATATCTAATAACTTTTATCAATTATCAGCATGTTTCCACACAAAAGAATCATTAAAATACAGACACAGAGGATTTTACTACCCAATAAAAGGAGTAATTGGATGTGATCATACATTCTGTAGCAATCCCTGAGGTGTGCCAGTGAGCTTTCCCCACATACTGTTCAGTGTAGATCTCACTGCTCTGGGATTTAACCAAGCCCTCAGGAACACTGCTTGGCCTTGCCTCTAATTTTGCCTAGTGGTCACTTGCAGTATTACAGCAAACAAAAAAAAAAAAAAAAAAAAAAAAAAATCCCCTGCAGCCCAAAAAGCATTTTCCCCACAGACCACCATTATAAAAGACACATCTGTAAAACTTTAAAACACCTTGAACTGCAAACACGCTCAGTTATGACTCTTTCTATTATGCGCTTTTGAGCCCTGGACGTTTCATATTTCTAAAACTTTCCTCAAGCCGAGAAAAGCAATGTAAAAAATCCATGAAGCCGTCTCAATGGAAAATTTGCTGGCTGGGCGAGACCTCGTAGGCAGAGCCAGCAGAAGAAACACTACTGCACATATTCAGTGGGCCACAAACTGCAGATGTAAACCTGGAAGCTAGAAAGCTAGCTGTCATTGGACTGAATAGGTGCCATTTTGGGGTCCAGTATCCAGATCTAATACAGGGGTCTCTAACGACTTTCAGGCCAAGGACCCCTACTACATATATTAAACTAAGTTGCATATTAAATTTGGCCTGCAATAATGTGTAGAGCGGCCAAAAATGCCGTGTATAAACATATCTCAATATAGTGCATTCAATACCAAGCTATTAAAATAATAAACGTATTGACAGAGTCATGTATTTATACATCATGGATTTATCTGACAAGGATTTATGGGTAACAGTTAGCCTTCTAATGTTGCATTCTCACTAGGTGTGAATAAAACACTTTGCATGAGTGAAGTACATGTAAAGTCAACACAAAGGCACGATTAGATGTGAATTCCTGCTGGGGCAGCATGATGGACGCAACACGAATGACACAGAATGCGCTTATTACGCAGAGCAAATAAAGCCAGTAGCGCGATTTTGCATCATACAGTTATTCGTGAGAGTTGAAAAATCAGAACTTCAGTGACTAATTAGTGCCATGATAGCCAATCGGCATTGAGGTCCTTGGGTAATGTATGATGCTGAGGACGTACTGGCCTAAGTTCATTCATCGATTCAGCAGTTTCATGCATATGAAGCAAGTCAACACAAAATATTCTAGTGTTCAAACTCACGCAAGTAACGCAACGCGAAAATCCGCATTGCGTTTGGTATGAGCAGAACATAATGTGTACAAATAAATAGGCCAATTTATCTTGGCTAATAATGTGTTGGATTTGTGTTAATGTGTATTTTTCAGGTATATTTTAATTTGGATTTTTTTTTTTTTTTTTTTTTAAATCAAACTGGAATTTGGCGAGCACCTTACAGTAACTCTGAGGAGCCCCTAGGGGTCACAGGCCCCCCTGTTGTTGACTCATGTAATAATATATCCATGGACTCACCAGGTCTATCGTCTTAGCTGTGACTTTGGAGGTGTCATCACACCACGTCTCACACCACAGCCACTCCTGTGGAA